TTCTTAGTCTGATCTTAAATCCTCGACCAAATAAACCAGTTATCAGGCAGTGCCTGCCTGATAACTATTTATTATTTTTAAATAAATAAAACAAAGTTATATATTAATTGAAATAAATACCTTTAATTGCCTCTGAAATTCTTTTTGTGCTAATAATTTGCTAGTGTACATTTCATCTGGATGCTTTGATATCGGCAATATTTTAATATCTTTATCTGCTTCTAAGAATTGCTTTTTAATTTCATTTTCAACAAATTTATTCAGTTCTTTAGTCCAACCATATATTGTTACCCAAATATCCTTAGCACTAGGTCGTTTTTGTGGTTCAGAATTCATGCATTTCTTAGCCAATTCAATATAGCATTTGCAAACCTTGGTCGCAATCCGTTGCAAATCTTTACTGAATGTTTTAAATTAAATTCCGTCCATCAAAGGGCCTTTGATCAGTAGACATTTATGTCATAATAATACCAAACCCATAAAACACCATAAATATCTGCTTTCTGTGTAAACTACTGCAAAAACAGAACCTATTCACTTTTGCGTGTGGAAAACTGGATGTGGCTAAGATAGAGCTAGTTTGTATCGGAATTATTGTTTTTCGATCGTCGCCATAGAACTTACAGATTATTACAGCGCACATGGTGTGTGGGTAAAGTTGAGCTGGCTTGCATTGGAATTATCGTGAGTTTCATCATAATTTACTATAAAAAATTCCTCTACAGAACTTGCAGGCTGAGTTGGTCTGTGTTGGAATTATCGTGAATTCTAACAGGATTTACTGTAAAAAATTCTGCCACTCACTATTATATATAACACACTGGATACGGCTAAGATAGAGTTGGTTTGTATTGGAATTATCATCGTTTTTATCATAATTTACTATAAAAACAAAAAAAATTCTGTTACAGACTTACAGACCATTTTAATGATACATAGTATGTGGTTAAAGAATTCTATTGTAATTAAATATAAAAAATTCTGTTACATAACCTACTCACTATTGGATGTGGCTTAAGGTGAACTAAATTATCATCATCCAATTTGCTGTAGAAAATTCCGCTACAGCGATGCCACATAATATTGGCCAAAGATATATAAGTTATATATCTCTAGCTAGAGATGCCTATTAATAAATAGTTGGTTTTTAATTTTACAATATATCTAATTAGCCTTATTTTGCCAAATTTTATTATCTCTACATCCTAAATTTATTGTATAAGATAATTTATTTGATAGTGATTAATTAACTGTATCGTATCGCTATTCAGTTACTTTTTTACAAAATCTAATTTTTTTTTCTAACTTTAAATATAAATATCTTGATAATAGCTTAACCAAATTATATAAAAATTTTTATTTGAATTCTATAAATATATAGAATTCAGTTAAAAAAAATTATTAATTTTACTTGGATAGTGATCAAAAAATATTTGCTCAAAGATAGAAAGTACTTATTAAAATAAAAGCTATATCAATTTTTTTTTAAACCTTTAAATGAAGATATTTTAACAACTATTTGGCCAAATTTAACAAAATTTTTTAATTTAATTCTATATATTATAGAATTCAAATAAAAAAATTTTTATTGAATTTTATTAGATTTTTTTAAAATATATTTGCTCAAAGATAGAGAAAAACCAAAATATCTACCAAATACACCAATTTTTTTCTCTAACTTTGAACAAAGATATCTCAGTAACTATCTGCCCAAATTCAATGAAAATTTTTCAATTGAATTTTATGGAACCATAGAATTTAAAAAAGAAAATTTCTATCGATTTTGGTCAGAAGATTTCTTCATTCAAAGTTAGATAAAAATCAAAGCATCTATCATATTAGAGGCCATGCCAATTTTTTTTCTAACTTTGGGCGAAAATATCTTGACAACCATCTGATGAAATTCGATGAATATTTTTTTATTTGAATTCTAGAAATCTATAAAATTCAAATAAAAAATTTTCATCGAATTTGGCCAGGTGGTTGTCGAGATATCTTGCACAAAAGTTTAAAAGGAATCTTTTATTTTGGTAGGCATTTTTATTTTTTTCGACGACTATCTGACCTTAATTCTATGGATCCATAGAATTTGAATTCATCGAATTTGGTCAGATAGGTAGCTATCGAGATATCTTCACTCAAAGTTAGAAAAAAAAATTGATGCAGCTTCTAATTTGATGACGTTTTGGTTTTTCTCTAACTTTGAGCGACAACCACCTGATAAAAATTCGATGAAATTTTTTTTATTCGAATTCTATGAATCCATATAATTAAATAAAAACTTTGTTGAATTTGGCCAGATAGTTGTCGAAATATCTTCGCCCAAAGATTTTTCTCTAACTTTGAGCGAAGATATCTCGACACTACCTAATCAAATTCAATGAAGAGTTTTTTTATTAAAATTCTATGAATTTGTAGAATTCAATAAAAAAAAAACTTCGTTAAATTTGGTCAGATAGTTGTTGAGATATCTTTGCTCAAAGTTTTAAAAAAAAATTTGGTGCAGCTTCTATTTTGACAGGTGGTTTGACTTTTCTCTAACTTTAAGCAAAGATACCTCAACAGCTATCTAACCAAATTCGATGTAATTTTTTTTTTTTTATTTGAATTATATGCATCCATAGAATTCAAATAAAAAAAAGTTTCATCGAATTTTGTTAGATGATTGTCAAGATTTCTTCACTCAAAGTTTTGATAATTTGCATGTGGCATAAGTGACAATCATCAAAAAATTTTGGGGTACTTTGATAATTTTTGGTAGTGAAAAAATTTTTCTTCCCTGTAACGTTTTGTTTTCAAAGTGAAAAGTTGCATGTAAAACTAAACTGTATTATAGTTAGGGTTAGGGTGAGAACTAGAGATGCAGACATTTCTTAGATCAAGGGTAACTACCCACTTTCGTCATATAAAATTTGGATAGTTACCCAGTTACGGCTATGTCATATGTTATTTCATGTTCTAATGTCTGCATTTTTAGGGGGATGGATGGCTAAAGCCCGTGCATTTATATGTTTTTGATTATTTAATTAAAATTAGAGTAAGGGTTAGTTAGGAGTTAGGGTTGGGGCAGTTCTTATAGGTAAAATTGTCTTCCCAGCATTTTTTATTAGTGCTTTAAGGCAGGTTTACACCCGTTTCTTGTATTTTCGGCGTTTTTCACCTTTTTCTCTTTGTTTTTGTCTCTTCGGGTTAATCAAATTTATAATTTTATTGACTGTTAGTCACGTGAACGCACCTTTTGTAAAAAAGTGGCTTCGCTTCGATTTTATGATCCTGAAATTCGATTGGCCAATATTACAGGGGATGAACAATTTTTGTGGGACAGCTACAAAAATCGTAACCAATACGCTTGCAACAATATTCTTTCGTTTACGTATTCATCATAATAATAATGTCAACTCCCATTATACTTGGTGACTTTATACTTTTTGGCACTCCCGTTAATTTTTCGTGTCTTTTTAAAGAAATAAGAGCTATTGTCACTGTCACAATCGGAACAGAGAATACCATTGCATAACTCAAGGAATTACTCAAGAAAAAGGGAAGCCCATACACTGATAATATTTGTTCCGCCGACCTCACTCTATGGCATGTTAATGTTGATCCTAGTGCAATTGATACTATTGATGAAATGTTAGATGACAATAACAAATTAACAGTGCCAGAAAATACAGTTGGAGAAACTTTTTCTGACCTCAGTGGAAAAAAAATTCGTGTTGTCATCGGAACTCCTGTTGTTGGTGAGTCATTCTTGTCTGTGCCGCTTTATAGTTTCAGTAACACTGAACGATTTTCAAGTTTTATTTCAAATCAATATTATTGTAGAACAAGCTGGTAAGTATAACAAATTACGTAGTCAATGCAATCTTATTTTCTGACTGTGACATTTATAATAATATCGAATATTTAAACTTATACCTTTAACTGCAGAATCTCTTAAGCGCCAATATTCGGTTAGCAACTATGATGAAGGTCAGCATTAGTCAGATGCTTGTTTCTACTGAGTTATTGTATTAACATATTCAAATATTACAGAACAGGATAAAAACATGAAGAAGATCCGAACACACCCCTCTCCATCATCTTTTGCTCTCATCAAAAATTTGCATGAAAATCAAAGTCAAGCGCGAGAATATCTTATTTACCACCCTTATGGTTGCATCAGCATACCATTGATGTTATATAATTATGCTTTTACTTGTTTCAAAAACGACTTTAATAACGATAATCTACCTATAGATAAAGATCATTATAAATGGACCCTCAATTGCATTAAAACCATGGCAAATTTTTATTCAAATGAGAAATTTCGTCAACAAGAGTTTCATGAAAGGATGCGCGAATTATTTAACAAAGATATAAAGATAATCCAACTTGATGATGAATCTTCAAATGATGGAGCTTTAGAATTAGATGTACATTCATTTACTATATTATACCTCCATATTGAAATTAAAAATGAAATTGGTACGGGTAAATGTGATCCAACTACTCAAGCAGCTGCCTTTTATGCAAAATTTTATGCCCAAAAAAAGTATGAAAAAATACTTAAAGGGTGCAACATGCCATGCTTCATTATAGGCTTGGCTGGACCTTGGATATGCGTATTAGGAGCCGTTTATATTGAAAAGCCACTTATCGAACCTTTAACAAGCTTTGAACCTCTTATCTTCACTAATGATCGAGTCCATTTAGAGAAAATAGCACGACTTTTCATGGCTTTGCGCACGGGATGTAATAGTCTGAAGAAATATTATGAATCATTATCGAATTCCATATTAAATATTGTAGATTCTTAACGGTTTTTCCCCTATATTCGAACCGCAGACAGGGTTGGAGATTTTGTCTACAAGGAGAAACTTTTTGATGATCCACAAAAGCTCCTTTGGAAGGCTGAGACGAAAAGTGGTCAGACTATCATTGTTAAGTTTTCGCATATGTACAACGCTTATGCACACAATGTGTGCCATGAAATTGGAAAAGCTCCAGAATTGTTCTTTGTTTCAAAAATTAGTAATGAATTTAGTATGATAATTATGGAATACGTTAAGGGCCAGAAACTATACGATTGTGAAGACTTGGATTTTTCTACATACAAAAAAATTATCAATGACATCGAAGTTGCCATCTCTAACATCTTAGTTATTAAAGATGACAGTAAAACTTATCACGGGATGTTGATAGATTTTGATTGGGCTGGCGAGGATAATGTGGAATGTTATCCGTCCTTCATGAATCCTAATATTAATTGGCCTTTGGGTGCTGAAGATAAGATGAAATCAAAGAAGGAACATGATATACATTGGCTGAAAGTATTGAAAGATCAGTACCTGAAGAATGAAGATGAACCATCTAAGTTTTGAAACTTATACTTATTTTTGCTTTATTTTTTCTTATTGAAAATAATCGATACTTCGTATTAGAAATGTTAAAAATAACTACAAACATACAAGAACATAATCTTCAAAAAAGCCTCTTTAGATATTCCATAGCATTATAAATGTCGGATTTTTATTGCTATTATCATAAAAGTAGACCGAGTTAACTTATGACCCTATAAACCCGCTGATAACTGGTTAACTTCAGTTAACCTGAGAAATCTATATTTTGATATACCTGTGGCTTTGTCTTACATCAAGAGTAATGTTAATACAAGTCACTCTCGTTATAGTGAACTCTCGATATAGTGAAGAAATTTTTTAGAACAGAATTATGATTACTATAATAAAAGGCTCTCGATATAGTGAATCTCTCAATATACTGAAGAAATTTTACAGCCCAAAGACTTCACTATAACGAGAGTGGCTTGTAGTAATGCTCTATGTATTTGATAGGTTTTATCTATGATTGGTTTCGATGGCGCTATTTAATATTGAACTAAATCTCTCATAAGGTTAACATGTTACATAGAATTCTTAGATTTTTATTTTTTTTTTATAATTAATATTTATAATTTAATGGATTTGATCCTATATAATTTAATTACACTTTATTTTATCGATTATTAGATTTTTTCGGAGGTCAAGTCCGTTGAAAGTCCTAAGTTTAGCATTTATATGACAGAGTAGCTAGAGGTTTGTGCATAAGTAATTTACTATATACTATACATTCATTAAAACACAAGATTTAGGACACATTATTTAGTTAATAGCACAATTTAATTAAAATTTTAACTTAATAGTATTATAAGACAGTATAACGGTTAGCTGTAATATAACCGGTTTACTGTTTTGCTGAACCGTAACCCGGGTGGTTCAACGGTTAACCCAAATACAAAGTCACGCTCAATTTCTATAAATAACGTTAGCCACGTCTGATACTACTAGGGATGGGTTCGACTACGAATATTCATAGACAATTTGCTAAATACTGAGATGATTTGTTGTTCTTGAGCTTTTAATTAAAGTTGTTCGGAATTAAATTCTGTTCATCCTATTTTATAAGTAGAAGGAACGATACCTTCCCTGGAACTCGGAATTTCAAGATTTGTTAACGTCATAGCCGACTATTAGTCGGCGGCTAGTAGCCGGCTATAGCGTTAACAAATCTTAAAATTCCGAGTTCCAGAGAAGGTATCATTCTTTTTACTTATAAGATGGGATGAACAGAATTTAATTCTGAACAACTTTAATTAAAAGCTCAAGAACAAAAAATCATCTCAGTATTTAGCAAATTGGCTATGAATAATCATAGCCGTTCGTAGTCGAACTCATCTCCTTTGTGCGATATACGTACACATGTGTTAGACATTACTCAAACACCCAAACAAATTTAACTTACCTTTTGTCCTTTTAAAATGATACAATGCCATTTTACACTTTCTTCAAGTACTAGTTACAATTGTTGTAATCTTGCAGAAACTTAATTAAATGGCAAATGTCTATACATATTGGAGGCATTATTCAAGAATGCCACTTAACTTCTGTTAATTTAAAACATTATTAGCAATCAATTAAATGAAGAAATCGGATAGGCCTAGCCTCCATGAAAACATTCTTAATAATGGTGATTATTATTTAAAAAAGCTGTTAATTGCTAAGTAAGAGTTATTATTAAGTTTCTCTGCTGTTAACAACACGATCAATAGCACGAAGAGTACTTCTGATATTCCATAACTTAACACAATAATGAATTGGAAAAGGTATATTTTTTCCTTCCCTCCACAAATCAGTGGACAGATCTATATATTCAACCAAACTATTACCCATTTGGAACTTTATAATATTAATTCCAAGGGAATTAAAGGAGGTCATTATCACTTTAACTTCCAGAATGTTTTGAATAAGTAAAAAATATTACTATTTCAAGTATATTATAGCAAAGTAATTAGGAATTTTTGTATTCATCACGTAAATAAATCGCATCCATGAATTATTTGCAAAAGCATGACTTAGTGCCACAATTCATTTCTTCGACTCCCGTGTTTGCTACTTTATATACAGCACAATTTATTTCATGGAAAAATATTCAATACAGAGAATTACATTCCTAAATTATTTCTATTTATCTTGCTTAAATATGTGTAGTTTTCTGTTACGCTAATATCGTAATAGCGATAAGAGATCGATTCAGGTATAATGAATAAAAAAAAAAACTATTCAGTATGATGAATAAAAAAAGATCAATTCAACTATAATTAAATAATAATAATAATAATAATAATAATAATAATAATAATAATAATAATAATAATAATAATAATAATAATAAT